TGATCTCTCAGGGCTGTTGTGCTTAGTTATGTAATTGTGAGTTTAGTAGGGTAAAGTGAGTCTTCAATAGTCACTTGCATAAAAGAACTAATTATAACATTTTTTTCAAAGTGTTGTGTGGGGCACTTGTCACAAGACTAGCCACAACAGTGAAGGAGTCTGTACAAATAATGCTGGAACCGTTTGCTCATCATCTACATTATCTTACTAAAGTGTCTAATGTTCTGCATTAGAGAAACTCCCTAATTTTGTTCGAATCGGCATTTCCCATGTTTATACCTAGAGTCTTCAGTGCATGTAACACCTCTTATTTCCTAGTTTGCAGGACTGCTGTCTTTGTAGGACTACAGAGGGCTTTCTGGAGAATTTCTCTTAGTCCTGTGAAGGGGAAGGTTGTATATTTTTCTCATCTCCAAAGGCTTGGACATTGATGCTTCAGACTTGTGCTTGGTTGAGCTTCCTCTGACCCCAGTCCCTAGCACCCAGCCTCTCACGAGGAAATCAGGAAAGGGAAGCTATGAAAAGAGAATTGGACATTTCTTCTTGGAATCCAGTATCTTCTGACCTAGCAGAGCTGGTCCAGTCATTCAACTGTACTTTCAATGAAAAAGTCCTCAATGTTTCAGAGAAGATAAACAGGACAAATCCTTGGCATGTTGGAGAAAATCGGGAGAATCTTGTTTTTAAAATTTTTCTTCTTTTCTCTTTGGTTCTTTCCATCTCCGTTTTAGGGCTGCTGAAGAACTGGCGGGTTTCTTCCTTTCCTTCTGTGATTTTATGACTTTGAGTAATTGGTAATAAATATGTCAAATGTTAATGATAACTTCAAACTAAGCATGGTATAGTCGGCTTATCTTTAGCTGAATTTAATTGATTTTTCCTGTTTTACTTGGTCTTATAAAAACACTTTTGTTAACTTGGGCAGCAAATTCCTTAACAGGATGCCCACAAGGTGGTTTTAGGGCAAAGCTTGAATGTGATGTTGCTCCTCTCTGCCTTTGAAGAAATCTTAGGACAAGTGTGTTTCTTTAGTTGTGTGGGATCTGTACCACGTAGTGACTTTTTAGCCACGTGCATCATGTAGGTAGCTTGAGACTCCTTTGCTGCCTCAAGTCCCCCTTCAGCTTGGCCCCACATTCCCGTGAAACATGAAAAACAGGAGTCCATAACACCTTCACTGTGAAGAAGTGCCTTGTGTGGTCTCACCCACATTATTTAATATGTGTTTTGTTTCTTTAGAACTGTTAAGGTGATAGTTGATAGCAGATGCACTGTTGCCCGGGCACTTACTGTGCTCCAGGCACTGTGTGAAGAACTTTACCTGTACTCCCTCATTTCATGTCCACATCTGAAATAGCTAAGTATTACCACTTCTGTTCTGGCGGTGAGTGACCTGGGACCCTGAGAAGTGTGTTTAAGCTTCCCAAGCAAGTAGGAGGAGGCCTGGGATGCAGAAGTAGTGAAGTCCTGGCCAGATGTCCTGCTGTTGGTGACAGGCATTTTAGGCAGTAGCTTTTGGTGCTTTTTAGTCACATTTACCTGTGCCTCTCAAAATGCTCCAGAAAAGGTACAGTGTGGGATCTGCCAAGTGATTTCTTCTATGATCTGGAGAAGACTACTTTAACTTAAGGCAAGGTCTCTTTAAATAATAAACTCCTGGCACCTTTAGAAGAAGTTTCTATTGCATTGGAAGGGTCTTACCCATGTTTCAAATAATCATTTTAAGTAGTTAACTGTTCTACATAGTCATATTCTGCCCCAGGGGTTCTGTAGGAAATAGACAATAGGCTGTTCCATCACCGCTTTCCCTGAGCTGGAGCTCCAGCAAGACCATGTTTGACTACTGAGCATTGTCATTGCTTTAGGTACATTATCTCCTTCAATCCTCACCATATCCCTTTGCTGAGTACTATTACAGAGGAGGAAACTGAGGTACAGAGAGGTACGACCAACCACTTTACTTGGAACCACTGTGTTATTACTTCCCCTAAATGCAGTGTTACGTCTCATAAATCCTAATGCATCTCAGCCTCAAACACGAACTTGCCTGGCTCCCCATACATCCGTTTAAAAAGATTCCCTTGTACTGAGGAGCGGTCAGGACAGAGGCTGGTGCTGGGCACTGGGTGGCCTGTGGGTTTGTCTGAGTTATGCTCTGGAGACAGAGATTCTCAGTTACGTCTCCCGATTGCTCCTCCTGGAAACTGGGTAGTGGTTCTTGTCCGGTGTCTACCACTGAGGAAACTGTTGAGGTGGAGAGGAAGCCTCCAGGAGATGAAGGGGGATTAACTAGATTTGCACTTGACATTGACACACCTACAGAGGGATTTGTACATCTATAAGGGATTATGGTTTTTAAACCAGGTTTATAATTATGGTATTATGAGGATTCACGTGACGTTACATGGAATTTCTGAACCTTTAAAAATCGGGCAATGAGAAGAATAAATTCATATGCTGGAAATAAATTGAATATAATGGACCCAATACGGGAATACATTTTTATATTTTATAGTCCAGATAGAAAAATAAAGCTTTTCTTGTTAAATATAACCCAATGAAAATAAATGTGCGGAGTGATAAAGAATATTTTAAGCATAGAAATGGCCCATCTGGACAAGTATGTCCCCTTTTTAAAGTCTGTTCAAACACTTTTTTCATCAGTTCCCTTATTAATCAGGAGGAAATTGACCTGATGCTTAAAGCAGGTTTTTGCCTTGGTTACGCTATTAGCTCTGAGTGTCTTGCTTCGGCTGCTTCAGCTGTAGGTCACAAGCAGTACGTGACCCTGTAAATCTTGATTACCATGATTTCAGGGTATATTGTTCTGTTTTCAAATGGGAGGGAGTGATGGAGAAGGTGGAAGATGAAAAGCAGCACTATACAGAGGTGGTCCTTTGGCCACAAGTAACCAGTTCACTGGAGTTGGGGTAAGTAGAAAGAAAATTATAGTAAGGATACTGGTGTGTCTCAGGAACCCGAAGGTAATGAGGAAGTGGCCCTGAGCGGGGAGCAGGACCTGGAGACCAGGGTGGGAACCCTCTAGTCAGTGTTCACCAGAACTGCCTGTGTGACACAAGCCTTACTAAAGTGAGAGAAAAGCTGACAGAGGAGGAAAGTAGGAATCTATGTAGTTTATCAATTTACACTTGAGCATGAGATAAAAAAAATAGCTCAGTCGTCGTCTTTGGAAAAACAATATGTGTTCACTATATGAAATTTTAACAGTAAAACTTCTGAAATTCTGATAATCAGCGTGATCATCACTATTTTGATCAGCACCCTTCTAGGTATTTCTTAGTATATCCAGAAAGACACATGTATGTTTACATGTACTCATACACACGTGCACACACACAAATGGAATGTTTATGGTCGTTTGCCTGTTTTATTCACTCAGAAGGGTATTCTGGATGCTGTTTCATGACAATTTAGACCTCCATGATTTTCAGTGTCTGTATGGTTTATTTATGTCTCCTATTTGTGGAACTTTAGGGCATTTACTTTTTTCCTCATAATTATAAACGATACTCTGTATAAGCGTCTTTCTGCTTACACAATAATTTACTTTGAATAGCTTTTTGAGAAAAAGGATTTCTGGAGCAAAGAGTACGCCATCTTACACACTGGCATGATTGATTAAGTAGTTACATGATGAGGTATGTCCACTTGTAAATGTGTCAGTTTGACAGGTGATAATTAAGATCTCAATGTTCTAAAGTTGTATTTTTTCATTTTTAGTATAGTTGAGTCAGCTTTCTTATGGAAAGTTGTTTTGTCCATCTTGAGGGGAGTATTCATTCCCCTACAGCAGGAAAGTACTCAAAATACTTTTCTTTCATTGGTTATTGGTAGTGGGTTGATTGTTAAAGCACTTTGCATGTTAAGAATGGCAACCTTTTGTAAGTTTCTCGTGTAAATGTTTTACCTAGTTTCTTATTTTATCTTTTGACCAAAGTATCAGTGTTTTGGTTTTGGCTTTTATTTTTGATTTGTTTTTGCCATTCATATATTTGAGATTTTTTTAAATGTAGACAGCCAAATGTCTCAGTCCTTTATAGTCAGATTATGATGTCATAACATCATGTTTAAAAAGAAAGGCTTTTTCTATCCCCATATTATAAAACTATTCATCTGTATATACTACTCTAGTATTTACTCGATTCTATTTTGAGTTTATATCTGTCATAAGTAGAAAGAGAGATCTAGATTTTTTTCTTCCTCCTAAATAGCAAGCCAACATCACTTATGAACTAGTCTCATGTACCTACCTACTCAGATCTGATTCCTTGTGGTTGATCTGCTTCATGGGGATCCTTGCTTCTGTATCTGGTTGTGTATTATGTTTCACTGATTCATATGTATATTCTCACTCAGACTTCTATTTGTTAGCTGGGGCTGGCTCACTTTGTTGATTTCTACAATTGATTGTGGTGCTTCTCTGCTTCAAATTGGGTTTCCATAGAGTAAGGTGTTAAATAGTCAGTTCAATGCCTCAGAGAACTGAGAATGAAGTGGGAACAGTCGAAGCAAGAAAGAACCACTTCACAGATGTGTTAAAGGAGCTAAGTAGGAGAAAAGTGAACAGGACATGAAGAGCTCATGTAGACTAAATTGCAGGGCCAGTGATTTTTGTTTTCAGCATTTGGTGGGGACAGGGAGGGGGATGTATATATCTGGTCTTTGTTTCAATTCAAAGCCATTAGGCATTTCTACCACAGGGAAGAAAATTATGTGTTTTGCCTCTTTGCCAACAGTAACATAATTTTGGTCTTCAAAATGAGTGTCTTGGGACCTCAATTCCCTCTTGGTAAAGAAAATTCCCAGCCCATGTGTTGCAGCGGAAATTCATTGTTTCCTGAGTTATTTCCTTTCATGCTTAGTGAAGGGGAAGTAACCAAATGTATAGATTGAGTGTTTTTGTTTTTTTGTGTGTTTTTTTTTCCAAAACTGATGTCTTTAACATTACTTGATTCTGATGGTTTTTATTATTATTTTAGTTGTTGCAGTGGAAGGCTTCTCAGATGCTTCAGGATATCTTCAGGGAAATTGAGTCTCCATAAACAGAGAATTGAGGTGAGTCCATTGAAAAAGATGTTTCATTTTTATCCACTGGCCACCCGCTGCATGGTAAAGTTGTACAGAATGTTAAAACATTGCCACTTACACCGTCTTGTCTGATTGTTACCATGGTTCTATGAGGCAGGGATGTACTCGCCTGGTCTTATTACTTCCATTTCAATTTGATACTCATCCTGGTAGTTGGTGGGGTGATGGTCAGGGTTTATGGGGGGGGGCAATCAATAACTGGTCTTTTGCTTTCTTGTATGACTTCCCGTTCATTCACTTTTAAACTTTTGCTTTATAACTTTTCAGTGTTGGATAAGGAATTACTGTAGAAACTTCTGATAGCCTCCGTGCTGAAACTGCACGGTAGTTTGTGGAGCTCTCCAGGGACACTTCACAGCAGCTGTCGCATGAGATCAGCAGACTTTGGTGATTGGTGGTGTGCTTTCCCCTTTGCTTGTCCTGGCCGTGGCTGTGTGATCTCAAACAGAGTGGATGAGATAACCTGGGCAGGGGAAAGCCAGCTCCTGTCCTGTGTGTCTTGGGTGAGCCTCAACTGAGGCCTGTGGGAGAGGAAAGAGCGGCTTCTACTCTCAAAGCCTTGCACCTGGCACACCAGATGTACCAGCTGTGTACTTGACCAGCTGTACGACCAGGGACAGATTAGTTTATTACTGCTAGTCTCCATGTCTTTATTGTAAAATGTATAGGCTGGTCCAGCATAGTTGTTCCCACACTTACTGATTTTGTAGAACAAGAAAAAAATTCAGGACCAATTTTGACTATATTTGGGGGGCTGTTTGTAGACATAGTTGATAATTGTTAACACTGGATGGGTGCATGAAGGTTTACTGCCTATTTGCGTACTATTCTATTTCATGTTTAAAATTTTCCGTAATCAAAGATTTATTTTCAGAAACAGCTATTACTACAAATATCATTTCATTAGAGAAGAAATACTTTAATACTGAAGGAGTAGAATGTAATAAATTTGTTTTTAGTTGTATGTATTTAGTGTTATGAAAACGCTCTTTTTTTCCCACCTCTTTCTTGTCTTTCTGCTGACCAGAGACTGTTAGCACGGAGCTAGCCAGAGGTGGCCTGAAAACCGGCATTTGGGAAATATTGGGGCATATGACAACTAAGGGCTCTTCTGCCTCTAAAACTGTATTATTCCCCTGAAACAGGAAATAAATGTATTCTAGTTATATATCAGCTATTTCCAGAAAGTTCCATGACAGCTAGCATTCTCTAATTGAGATCAGAGGTCAAACAGAAGACAAAGGATGGCTCTGTTGGGAAACTCAAATAAAAATGGTTCATTCATGTGACGTTAAATTCAGCTGCGAGCCACCTTGCAGTCGGTGTAAAAATGAAAACTGATGGTGTTCAAGGTGTCTACTGAAAGTATTCCCAGTCTTCCCTTTCCACATCATAGGCAGCCTCTGGTGAAGAGATATGTCACAAATCAGTGTCTGCCTGCAGTGTGGGGATGTCGAGAGCTGTCTCCAGGGAGACCAACCCAAAACCAACTGCGAGGAGCACAAGGCTGGGGTGTAGTGGTTGAGGGAAAGAGTGCTGAGAGGGCTGTAGGATGGGGTGTACAACAGGTGTGGCAGAGCGAGGAGCTGCACTGCCCTGGGGTCCTCTGAGCATCCCGGCGTGGGTGTTGTTCTTTGAAAACCTGCAGAGGGCGGGAGGCGGTCTTGTCTGGCTGATGGGCCTGGGCACCCTGGATAGGAAGCACGTCAGACACAGGCCTCTCCCACGTTTTCAGATCCGAAGAGAGCACGCCAGGTGAATTTCTGGGCTGTGGGTCTGTACGGAACGGAAAACTCGCCTTACCGTTTACTTCTCCCTGGGATGTAGGGATGTGTGTGAGGAGCAGGGCGGGTGGAGGGTAGAGGCAATAATAGGTTGAATTATTAAGATAGTAAAATAATGTGAGGAAGGGGCAACCACGCCCCCATTCCAAAACACCTGCCTGACCCCGGCTGCTTCCGAAGGTTCCATTAAGTTAGCGGCTGGTGGGCCACATGTCGCCCAGGACGGTTGTGAATGCGGCCCAACACAAAATCGTAACTTTACTTAAAACATTATGAGATTTTTTATTTGGTGATTATGTGGTCCAATGTATTTAATGTGTGGCCTAAGACAACTCTTCTTCCAGTGTGGCCCAGAGACACCAGAAGGTTGGAAACCCTTGGTCTGCATTGTTGAGAACATAGTGGTTTAGTCCTTTAGAATTCCTCCCTTCATGATTTTAGCTTTTGTTTGTTTCACATGCCTATTTTCTGGGAAACTCAAATGAAATTTGACAGATTTACCTAGTGGTTTTCCCTCCACCAACAAACCTTGGGTTTACTGTCTGATTTATACGCTTCAGTTGGGTTGCTTGTACCCCAAGGATATTTATTTCATTCTCTTTTTTGGAAGAAGCTACATCGAAAAACAACAGAAACATTTAAACATTTGTTTTGAAAATACAGGAATATGAGAGACTACCTGAAATCTTGACATTTCTGAAAGTGTCTAAAGACATGAATCTACACTAGCAGGAGCTTTTATTTTGACATAAACCAGATGGAAGGAGAATTGCTTTAAGGGATTTGGGTCTGTCCAAGTCTGAATAAAATTTAATGAATGAACAAAGTAATCAATCAATCATGTTCTGAGCCTTTCAGAAGGTCTGGCCGTGCTGGGTAAGATCTTGCAGGGATGCGCAAGGAAGAATTTGAGACAGCCATGCTTCAGGGCAGTGAACACGATGCTTTAAGGGATCGCATCCCGGCCTGGGAGGAGAGAGACCGTGTGTGCGTGAACGAGCACATGAGTGAGTAGGAGGGCCGGGGGTGTATGGTAAATGGTTTGTTTTGCATGTTACTTAATGACTTGTAGTATGGTCCAGATTGCAGAATAATTGTACTATTCCGAACTTATCTCCATTTTCCCTCCAGGCTTATAAGAAAAATATTTAAAAACCGATTTTAAATGAAAAACATTGCTTTTGGCTTTCTGGGACTTTTTTAGTTTCCACTGCTGTTTAGCAGAGCTATTGAATCTATAAAATTCAAAGCAGATCTGCATAGCTATTTGTCATTCTGTGTCAGACATTTAAAGGTAATGACGTCAGTACAGATAAGTTGTTCCTTGCTCACTTCCCTCCATTAAAAATGTAATTCGTTATGCTCTTTTGTCTTCCTGCCACGCTCCATTAGCCGACTTCTTTGGACGACTCTGCTTGTTGATGTCAGGCACTGCCACTGGCGCCCCCACTGTTAGCTCCTCGAGTGGCTGGGAGTCCTGATTAACATCCTGCTAATTAGCATCCTCTCCTTGGTCAGGGTTCCCAGACATGTGCCGCAGTCCTTACTCTGCTGTCTGCTTAGTAAATGTTTTAGAGCAACACAAGAACGGCTTCCAGATTGCTTTTCATAACTGAACTTGTCTATGGACATACTATCGTAGAATGTGCTGTTTCCCTAAGCTTTTTGGCTACTTGTGCTTATCAGTTCATTTCTATCACAGCTAAAAAGTCCTCCCAAAGAACTCAAGGTTTCAGCCTTTTCTGTCTAAGAATTGGTTGGATTTCATAGACTCAAATGCTCTGGAATACTTGTGCCTGTGTTTAACTATTTCACTGTGGAGTGTGAACCTTTAAATATAACTTCTTCTTCTTTTTTTTTTTCTGTGAAGCCATATATTCTAAAGACCTAGAATAACTACCAAAGCCATTCTATTCTGTTTACAACAAATCAGAATTGGACAGCTTTTCAGAGCTGTAAAATGACTAGTGCACTTGTACAATTTAAACATGACTTGACTAAGATTAAAATAAAGTAAACACACTGTACATCCAGCTGCAGTGGTCTCAACACACCACTGTAAGGCCTGGTAAAACTTGAGTGAAATCCTGCTGATCTAAACAATGGTTTTATAGAGGGTCTTTTATTTTAAAAAATTTCAGTCAAAGTAATGTATGCAAGTGGCTAAAAATAGAAAATATTATAGAACAGAAAAGCAACATGTCTTCCTCTCTTTCTTTCACTTAGCTTGCTTCTCAAAAGCAACCACCTTTTTCCCCCCTGTGGATCCTCTTTGCTGCTTTTGTGGGGGATTCCTGCATGTCTAAATATTATGCTCACAGCACCATTTCTCATGTAATTGGATTTAAAGGCAGTTTCTTGGTATCTTGTTGTGATCTCTGACTAGTTCACCGTGACCATTCCTGTCTCCTTCCTCTCCACACTGATTCTCGCCTTCAGTCCTTCCGTTTGCCCCTCGGATAACACACTTGATTTCTTCTTCTTGTCTCCCGGAGACACTGTTTCTTATCTAGCACTCAGCCCTCCCTTCCACCCTCTCCATTTTGGGCAGCTGTACCTTTAATTTTTTATGCTCCTAGTTGGTAATATTTATACTCTGTTCTTTAATCTGGTAAGGGCTTCCATAATTTACCTGTAACTTGATTCTGTACGTTAAAAGCAAGAAGCAGCATTTCTCTCTCTCGGTTAGGTGACTGCCGTTCCCATGGCAGCCAAATTGTGCGGTGGGATTATATTCCTTCCTCCCCAAGCCTCGAGTCCTCACACTGTGGCCCCTCCTCGGAGAAGGGATTCTCCCTTTCACAGGTCACCAGCTGTCTTGAACGAAGCCTTGAGTTTTACTGGACCCCACTTTATTTTTGTAGGTCTCCTTTTCACAGTCCCCCATCCTCCACCCGCAGCCAGGTCATTTTTATCTCTGTGTGGCGCCTGCCTCTAAGCAAGTGCTAGTAGCCAGGAGAAAGCTTGTTACTACCATTGGAAAAGACACATCAGGCCCTGGTGTCTCAGAAGGGGCAGTCGCCCAGTCTGTGAAATAATGAGCCATCATTCTTTGAGGACCTGATGTTTTAGGCACCTAGGTGCTTAAGGCCTTGGTGTCTGTTGAAACCGTCACACCAGCCCTATGGAACAGATGTCATTGACACTTTGCACACCAAGACGTTGAGATCTGCAGGAGATGCC